ACCACATATTTTACATTCAACGGCAATATCTATGAGCAAATATTCAGACTATGGATGGGATCTCCACTCTCACCTCTTTTTGCAAATGCATACATGGACAATTTGGAAACGGAATTTTGGAAGTCACTGCTGCAGCCAAGAGTGCTTTGCACTTTGGTCTCATGGTAAGAAAAAATTGAATGGGTTCCTTAATTTTATAAACCAATTTGATTGAAGAATTATTTTCACAATGGAGGTGGGTTATGATAAACGACTATCCTTTTTGGATATTGAGGTCATTCACTCCAAGCTACTTAAGAGAAGATTATCCAGAAAGAAATCACATAAGGGAATAATCCTCAATTTTCAGTCTCACCACAACTACATATGAAAGATTGGAATACTGAGGAGTGTGATCATCAGAAGCTTGAGACTAACGGACACAGTTCTGGAACGAGGGGTGAGAGAAACGGACTAGGATTTGCTTTAGTAACGGATACTACAGAGAATTTATAGAAATAAATATATAGGTCGGAAAGAGCAGCTTTCAACTATGATTTTATGAAAATAATATCAGGAATCGAGAGGAAGACAAAAAGTGGATATGCCTGAATTTCTCTGAACTGAGCCAGAAATTGCGATCTTTGCTAAGAAAATGGAATATCAAGGTGATACCAAAAGAAAAGACAGCACTCTTTACAAGCATGCCGACGCAATACGAGAAAGTTGACAAACTGGATTGCTCGGGAGTCTATAGGATCAAATGCGGCAACTGTGAGTATAAGTATATTGGTGAAACAGGAAACAACATTAGCCTATGAATCAAGGAAGGCTAAAGGCTCTGCAGAAACATGGATACTGAAAGATTCGAAATACTGAAACACATTGCACGTACGGGACACGAAATTAAGTGGAAATCAACAGAAAGACTGTCTACATATGGTGAAAATGCAAGAAACCGCCAGATACTAGAAGTAATCAATATCCTGACTGAAAGAAAGAGACTTGAAGAAGGCGGATTAACGAAAACTTTGCATATTGTCTAAGAAAACTCGGAGAAGATCAGGGAACAGCAATATCAGCAAAAAGAAGACCAATGTACGAAGGTAATACTTTTAACTTTAGGAAAAGAAATTACAATGAGTCAAGAGATGAACAAGGATAAGCCAAGAGAAGACGTCGACAGTCGACCTATTCAAATCAAGTAGAACTATCACTTTTGGAGTTCGGCATGCAAGAGACTTGGACAAAAGAAAGTCATAAACTTGTCATTAGGGATAGAAAAGCGAGAGATAGAGGGATTACCATTGATTATTGGCTATTACTAGATAAGTTTGCTTATAGACGTGGTCCATGACATAAAGGCTTGATGACAAGATTTACTCGGTGTGCATGCCTCACAATGGCAAGGGAATCTGCAACGTCAATTTAGTTTTCCATAGCAATAGAGAATCCAAACTTTAGGGGCTTTCTCAGTTAGGCTGGTGTATTCTTGCTATCAAAAGCTTGAGGCATAGTGTATAACATAGCGTTTTGATGAGCACGAATACGGTGGCAGCGATGTAGTGAAATCACCGAAACAGACAGATAAGGGGAGGTTCCTACGGAGCAAGAGGGATATTTATAGGACCCGAAGGAAGAGGATTTCGGATTAAACCGCAGCCTTGTATTAACTCTTTTGCACAGTGGAAGGTATGTGGAAACCAGCGGGGAGTGTGAATAGGTTTTAAAGAGGTTTAGATAAACAAGTAAGAAATTGTGATATCAAGGGGTTATACAAGGATATAGGAGAGGTGATTACTCCAGGTCAGAAGGAGAGATCCCACAACTTTATCATATAATTAGTCACTTATCTCTTTGACATGTTGTACTGTGGTGCTAAGAGTGGCAAGGCTCACTGACAATGCTGACTAGGATGTCGGCGAAACGTCTGGGAATGTACCAAATCCATGGTCAGCCTCTAAAAATTATCATGCATACTATGGGCTCTGGACAAAGTGTGTTACTCTAAGCCCTCCTACAAATATGACCAAGTTGCGAAAATAAGGTAATTCTACTTCTATCCAAAGAAAAGAGTCCGCGACCATACAAAAGGTCACACCATCTTGGTCCTCATACATTCGATTAAAAAGAATGATTATTTATACTAATAACTCTGATTTACTCCTCTCGTTTTTACCTCGATGCAAGGTTTCAGGCCTTCCTGTTATGAAGGTAGACTTAAAGTCAATCAGTCTCATTGTTTCAGCAATTTGCTCCTAATTTTATAAGACTATGTGACTATGAGTGACTCCGTAATGCTGTTATATTGGGGTAAATTTTAAAAGCGTGGTCTTGTCGATTAGGTTGTTACTTTGTTTCTCCTATTCTTATAGACTTGATCCTCCTGGTACTCGGAGGTCCAACTCATAGTAGCTTTGGATTGGGATAAAAAAGACGAGATAACTATGCAATATGGAGTGAAAAATGTTGCATTTTATTGTGAGTCTTAACAATTTTACCTTTTGAAGCTTGCAAACTCCCCATATCAAATTTAATTTTAGGGAAATGATTCTAATGTAATGGATAAGTTAGACTGAATCAGTATATATATATATATATATATATTCAAATTAGTATCTATTTTTATTTCTATTCATATTGTGCTGTGCTTGTCAATTTCTTTAATTTTAAGTTTCGCTCGTACCCTATCAGTATTTCCATTTCCTAATAAACCGAATCACGAATATATTTATTGCCAATATTTTATTTGTTGTGGTAAATATTTGACTTTGTTTTCGCAAATTGCTCGGAGCGTCACGGGGACCTTATAAAAATTACCTGGTCCTGCGTCCTTTGCCACGGTATTTGTGATTTCCAGCGTCCGACCATTGACTTGATACATTCCCAGCATTTTCGCTGGCATCGTCTTTGAGAGACACTATCGTTAGCACAGGGTTGAAACTTATCAAATTGACAAGTGAAGGAAATTCCCTTGACCAATTTTCTGTTCAACCCTAATAGGTCGAGGAGTGATGCCACAACAGGTGAAAAAAAATTGGTCAAGGGGATTGCTTTCGTTTGTCACTGATAAATTTTAGCTGTGCTAACGATGTCGCATCTCACTGATCATGCCAATGAAAAGTCTAGGAATGTACCTATTCAATGGTCCGATACCGGAAATCACGAATATTATGGCATATAACGCAGGACTAGGTACGTTCTACAAAGTCTCCCTGTTGCTCTGACCAAGTAGCGAGAACAACGACAAACCACCATTATAAAGTTAAAGGAGGCTGCGATAAATCAAAGAGCACACCACCGTGGTCTTCATATATACGATTTTCTTTGTTAATTTTTATCGCTCTAATCCTATTTTATTCTATTCTCAGATTCGAATATCAGTTCTGGAGACTATATGTTCATATTCTCATAACATTCCCTCTCTTCCATTGTCTCCAAAAAGTGAGTTTATACCTTTTTTTGTCATTTCTCTAATGTACATGTTTTGGATCTATCTGTTTATATCTATCTCTTTGTTAAATCAGGCCTTCAGCAAAATATTTGGGTTACTGTAATTCGCGACCTGATCAACTTCACCATCTCTTCACCTGTCTTCTTCCTGCCAGGTCTATGTCTTCTGCTTGATCTTCTTCCACGTCCAGGACCTTTTATTGTTCTTAACTCTCCTTCTTTCGATTTTGATCCTATTTCTTCCCGTGGCCTAGACAAAAGTGGTAGTGCTACAGTCGTCGACTGTAGTCAACAGCGTTGGGCCGTCTGCCTACTCTGTCTGCGAACCGAAGTTTGTGGTTTGATCGAGCTTCTAGCTGGCAGTTGCGGAGATTGTATTCGATCAGGTTACCTCGATTACAGCCCAAGCACCGTAGCAGGGTATCCTCGTGACACTAACTTGAGGTTCTGCAATGCTTTCGATTCGCCAATTTCATCTAAAATCGATAACGACAACTTGACACAGACAGAAAATTCACTTTTGTCACGTCTACTCTTTGCGTTTGTCCATCGAGTTGCTGACTTAGCTCCAGAGTGTGCTCAAATGCTAGCGGAGACTTCGTTGGATATTCTGCTTCAGGTACAAAATTTAAAATAAATCCTCTTAATCTTAGTAAGTAAGTAGCTATTGATTTCCTAGAAACTGGTGTGCAAAAATCAACTACTCTTAGTTTGAATCCAAACTTGAATGTTGCTTAGCTCTAGACAAGATCATGCATATTCCGATTTGGGTGAAAACCATCTTTTTGGATTCATAGCATAATGGTACTAGATAAATTGGTCATATTTTATCTACTTCCTAGTCGTATTGATCTCTCACTTCCAGTGTCTTTGTGTGACTACATAATTTTTACACTTTTCATCAGAAACCGTCCGTTTTAACACCTGATCGTATGTAGCCATTTTATTTATTTGTGTTTTCTATCAATGTTTGACTCCTTGAATTTAATGATTACTTTGGATTTAAGTAATAAATTTAAATCACATTTTATACCACCACCCGTGCTCTCAGGTCTCAAATATTTTCCATGTATAAAGCAATTTTAAACTTTGTCGTTTTATCATATATTTGAAGACCTAGAGTGTGTGGTCTTAGGTTTGGTTGCAGTAATCGCTTACTGATGTTGTTGGAGTACTTTTCATTTTGTTTAAAGAGGCGAGTGGAAAGGATTCGTAAGTTGGTCTTACTGGAAGCTGTAGGGCATTTCCTTGGGGCTGCGATTTTAGATTTGTGCGAATAGGTCCTCGGCGCACCGCCCTCGACTCAGATGCATCCTTGCTATACTTTCGTCCGTCATGTGACGGACATTGTCAGAGTAGAATGCCATGATTAAGGACAATTCATCAAAACAAGATGGTAAGGTGGCCTGCTCCAAACCTACATACTTGTATGCTTTGCCCAAATGTTTACTGAAAAGTTTATTTAAGTGACTACGGATGACAAATCTGCAATCAGCCATGAGGTAATCCCCCTACAGCTTCCGTTGATGCCAATTTACGAATTCCTTCTACTCGCCTCCTCAAATGAAATGAAAGATAGAAGTGGGTTGACCTCGTTGTCGCAACTTTGTCTTGTGGTCAGGGAGACTATGTAGAACGCACCTAGTCCGAAGTCGTCTGCCATAGTAGTTGTCTTGATTCCCAGCATCTGACAGTGTGCTTGATACATTTTCAAACGTTTT